TCTGCCGATTCATCGATTTTTAAAATAATCGTTAGTTGCAGCCCTAGTGCAGATTAGGTTATTACTTAAAAAGGATACTGAATTATTTTGTATTCTTGTATGAGTTTCCGATCAACTCTCCATGAATTGTGGAATAAGTGACTGACCAGGTTATAAATGTAAAGAAAGTCTTCAGTAATGGTGAAAAAAGGCAACCTAAAGATACTGTTAACCGTAGAATTTATCCTTTAAAACACAGAAAGGAGAGCTGTCCAAACCACAAATAGTGAAAAAGCCACAACCCTTCTGTATGCTTTAATCCCCAAATATTTCATGCATACTAACAATATTGTCACCACTACATGCTGCTATCCGATTATTAATTGTGTAAGTTTGTTGTTGTGACCTGTAAGATAACCTTGCATTTCATAAGCACCCTATGCAGAATTAATTTGGGTTCAAAATACTGTCCTTTACCATGTTTCTTCGCTGTAGCAGAGCCCTAATGAGATAAAGGGTCAGAGAAGTCAAAAAAATATATATTTTTTTTTCGCTATTAACACATTAAATTCCTCTGCTTGACTGTTTTTGAAGTAAGGATAAATAGATGCACTTTACTTGAAGCTCTCTTCAGTAGACAAAGGCAATTTTACATTCTCTAACCTCAATTAGGAGTTGCGGGGTTTTTCTAATTTTGTAGCAATTAGGTTGAGCCCTGACATGATTTTCCATTTGACTGAGCTGTTTGAACACCTTACATTAGATGCAGACATTAAGGGATTATTTATTGAACCATTTTCAAAGCTACATATAAATAAGTATTTTTCTTTATTTTTAAAGGGTTACTACTCCTTTTAAGTAGCTAGAAAAACATATCTTTAGATGTATTCGATGAATTTAAATACTGAGGTCTTGTTTTGGTTCCTTATTGATCTGCTTTGAGTTGTTTAGCTTATTTTCTCATTTGTTAAATGAGGAAACGTACATATTTTATTAAGGTATTATGTGTATTTCTTAACCTGAATTTTATAGTATGTGACTTTGCACTGTTATAAGCAGCCTGGAGCTTTTTTGAAATTTGGCAGTGGGTTTTGGAGGCTTGTAAAGGGTCATAAATTTGAGTTGGTTTTGTAGAAAGCTTCCAAAAAGAGATTGTTATTGATACAACTTCAATTTCAATACAACAACCAATGTCTCAGTACCAATGGTTGCTGCTTTAAGGGAGTAATCATCCTAGAATTGTTATTCGGCCTGTTTCATTATATAAATGTGTGAAATGTTCTGTTAGCACTCTATTATATGTTGAAAGATTTTTTTATGTCCCCTCCTTTGAATGTCATTTAACAGAATTTATTAACTTTCTGATCACAGTTTATTACTTGGCACGTTTCAAAGTCACAAACCACCCTATTCATGCCACCAGTCTTATCTATGTTCACAGCGCTGAATTAAGAAATGCACACAAAGGAAATAAAAGACCATACACAGACTTTGTACTAAGCACAAAGGTTTTTACTTGCAGTTCCTCTCTGCATGCAGATGAACCAATCTGAATAGAGTTTGTGGCTGTGTAAAACAAATGCCAGAGGGTTTAGCCTTTTTCTGCGTGCCTGTGTTTGCACACGCTGCTTGCTCTGAGACTCCTTCCCACTGTGCAGGTCTATGGGTGGTTATTAATATTGAGTTGAATATTATTGTGTCGGCAGCTGCATGTTGATGATCCATTTTGAAGAGCCCAAGCTAAGTGACGAAGAGGAGCCACCAACTGAGCAAGATAAGAGGAAGAAACTTGTGAGTTAAACATATGAAACCTGCACAAACACACATTGACACAGTATGCAAGTCATTTTTTAACTATATATTATTCTAAACATCACCATGTCCCTTCCACTTCACTATTTGTTGCTGCTCTAACAAATCCTCCATTCAATATGTTGAAATTTATCACTATAATGTGACTAAAAATAAAATAAAAAGCTGAAGCACTATGATTACATTGCAAAGGCCTTATATATATATATATATATATATATATATGGAATTAAGCAGGCATTAAATACTTGTATTCAAAAATTTTTCAACAGATGGCACAGTGGTTTAAAAATATGCACTTTTCAAATTGCAGAAACGCATCATTTAATAAAAGTAAGACACTGACTCAGTCCCTAAAATCCAGTGATGATGGAGGTCATGGAAACAATGAATCCTCTGAGTAAAGCATGTACATCCTTTTTTTATGGCAGAGGAAAATAAAATAAAAACTTTAGTTGGAATCATTCGGCCTATAATTATATATTCAGACACTAAATGTGTTTTTCTGTACTCAAGCAAAAAGGCTTTAATCTTGATGGGGAACCAGTTATTGGGAGATTTCATCACTTAAATAGGGGAAGCGTTGCCTCCCAGAATGAGCATGCATCTGTTTGCTATATCTGCCCCCTCTCAGAGCTCAGAAATATTCACCCTTCATTTAATATTGGAAAGTTTGATTATATTATGGGGGCGGCTGTGTCTGAGAGGTGTTCTCCACATAAAAGCTTCAGCAAAATTACTTTTACTGATTTTATTTTTTGGTGTCTGAATGGGGAGCACTTTCTATGAGACTCTGTCTCTTTGTGTTTGCTTATGTGTATTTTGCTGGATATCCAAGAGCACACTTATCACCTCAGCCCAGACGTGACTTTTTGCTCCAAGGAATGAAAAAAAGGGGACTTTAAGTTGCACCGCTGCGTCTTAATACTTGTGCGATTCTTTGCTTGAAGATGTGGATGAATGCATATAAAAGCTGTGCCTGTGCCTGCATGATACAGTTTTCAGTTAGAGTAGAAACTAAATAGGACTTTTTGGTTAAAATTATTGATTTTAGTTTGGCTTTTTCCGAGCTTCTCACTTGGCCACTCCTGTGAGCATCAGAGTCCGAGCACGTCCTTTTAGACTCGTGCAGGCTGACCTGAAAGCACAGTTACAAGGGGCAGAGGATTTCTTATTGCAGCAAACTGAAATCCATTACTTTGTTGTTATTGTTGTATTTGCACTCACTGACATGAAATCCTTTGTTGCATAACACAACATCATGTGTAAGGATTTAGGGCTGTTCAGGTAGCCAGTAAGAGAAGGAACCCTGGTCCTTTTCACATGCTGATTGCAATGCAGCCACTCTCAGGACATGTACCCTTGAGAAGATAAAGGTTCTGAAACAATACCGAATCAATTTAGTTGGGATCATGCCTGTACACAGAACTGGTTTGAAATAAAGCTCTTCTCCTACTGTTCGACCTCTGAAGAAAGGCAGAGAGTTTCACCTTTCTTAACCCCTTAAGCCCAGAGGGTTTTAGGAGCAATTTCTGCCTGAAATTACTTATCTGATTAAATCGAGCATAGCTCCAGAGGTATAAGGTTGAGATGTAAAAAAAATGCATGATATGAAGTCATTACATAGTATTTTGTGGAAACACTATTGAAAGTATCATTATTTCTGATTAATAGGTGAGCAAACGGCAAAAATCATGACTTTCAAGCCTTGCCATACTCTTTTCAAAAATAAACACTTAAAAAGACCATGAAAACCCCTTTGAAATCTCTGCATAAGCCTCAGAATGTATGGAACCATATCTTGACAATAACTGGAGCAAAGTTTTACTGAATTGGTTGAAGCATATTTGTTCCACTAAGATTTTAGTGGACAGTGTGGCAGACGGACCTGTGATTTGGCACAGATGTGCTAAAAGTGTCCAAAACGTTCCACATAGATTTTATTCCCCTAATAAAAAGGAATATGGTCTAGTAAAAGTGCTGAGATCCATGGTATTGCTACTTCTGCATACAAATAAGTGTTCTTTTTAAAAGATTTCAATGTGTTTTATTAAAATTTACCACATACATACATAGCATAATATCAATTAACCTAACAGAAAATTAGATGTTTTTTTTTTTTTTTTTTTATCATTACAAGACACTTTCGGCCAACTATACAACAAAAATAGCCAGAAAAAAGTATATATTGTTCTGCTAATACACTGTGTATTAGTAAAGTGTTGATAATGTAATGCTTAAAAAAAGGAACCTAAATCAGTTACACATATGGTAGTTACAGTGAGGAGAGGGTGTGTCATTGCAATGATTTTATTACCCAATCAGCATTATTTTCTACTCTATTCATGAGTCCTTCTTTTGAAATAGCAGGGAAGTAATGTAAATAAGTGGAAAAAAATAGGATTACAGCAGAAAGTATTCATAAAGCAGGTTTCTGCAGATAATTTTGTTATCTCTGTCTGAGAATCACAACTATTATAACAAGGCTGCTGCAGGAAACTGGACTCATTGCAATGTTTTTATTACCAGATTAGTATTATTTTTTTATTTGATTTATGTGCATACCTTCTGTAATAGCAGTAGTGAAAAAAAGTACACACACACCCACACACACACATATATATATATATATATATATATATATATTTATTATTATTATTATTATTATTATTCTACACAGATGCAAATAAAGAGTTGATTAAAATTTATTTGTTCAATAAAACGGTTGTAATTTTTTAGCAAATGTTTATGATAGAAGACATATTCAGAGAAATAGGGTATTTAATGATACAGTTTATTTTGTGTAGTGTGTTCTTCTTTAATACCTCTGATATGCAACCAAATTTTGAATTTTTGGTCTTAAATATATATAGTTGCGGGGAAAATTAATTGACAATTGTCTTTTCTATGATATTCTATTTCTAACTAATGAATTGTGGGATTCTCTTGAGAGGAATCCATGACAAGGGAAGCTACTGTGGCGATTTTTTTTTCCAAGACTTGTACCCCTTTATACATAACTTTGAAAGCAAAGTTCTCCTAACAATGGCTTACTAGCTTAGAAATAAATGTTGACGTTTTACTTAAAAGAGCTATTCTATTATTTGCTAAAACTCATCAGCTTATAATAACTTTATCCATTCAGTACTTTAGCCATACAAGTATGTTATCCAGGGCGTTAAAGTACTTGAATCAAATGTCAAAACCAATTTAAAGTTAACAAAATTAAATATAACTTAATACGACTAGGTGAGGTACCTGAACATTATAAAAAATATTATCAGACTGATTTATATCAGTCTTGTTGGTCTTAAATTAAAGTTAAGTTAAGTGTTTTTTTTTTTTTTTTTTGTCCTGACAAAACTCAAAAAAAAAAAAAAAAAAAAAAAAAAACAACCTCTGAGGCAAGTCAGTGTGTAGAACCACAATTGACTGCCTTGGTGTTATAATTAATAGATTATAGTACAAGGTTAATTTCTGGTACTTAGATGGGCTTTTACTATTCTAAATATCCTCCCCTGTTGCCAATCTTAGTGATCATTGCTGATTTGAGAGTGATCCCAACATTGTAAAGATAAAAATTAGGGAACAAAGGTCATTGATTTAGTCATTAGAGCTATCAGGAATTAAACTGTGTTCACATCTGTCAAATGTATGTGAAAGTTTAAAGGATCAACTAATATCAGTTTGAATTGCAACGTTGACCTCCATAAAATAAAAAAAAATAAAAAATAGTTGCTTCTTTTCTGACCTAGATCACCTATTACATTTTTTTATACATATTGGCAGTTTGGTTAGGGTTAATGAAAATCTTCCTCTAGCTAAAGACAAAGCATTTAAGTTAGTGTAATAATAAATCATACTCCAAAAACATAATGGTTAGCAACGATTACACTTGCACTGTTCATAATAAGGAAATTATTTTATTCTAAAAGAAAAGTATATTTTTTAACCAGTGTTCAAACCAGCTTAAGGTGAAACCCATCAAAGAAAGAGATTAATTTACTCATCCAGTATAAATGTCTTAAACACCAGAGCAGCATTGAGGTACTGCTACTCTGCTCATTGCTTTCCCCTCACACGTTCACTCACTGGTGCTCCAGCTAAAGTGGATTAGAGAGAAAAATGGGTAAAAATCAACTTAGTTTTGCAGGAATCTTTGGCCTGTGTCCCATTGCAGCTCCAGGGGGAAGGAAAGAGAAGGAGATATGCTGCACTATCAATTCTTCTTCTGCTGTCTCTACCCACCCTCTCCTCTCATTTCCATACCTCCTGCCAGTTACTGCGTGATGACCTGACCTATCAAGCAGACTATTAAAACATTGCCTTCATCTTCTCCTCTAATTATTCAGCTCTTTGTATCCTTGAGGGTTTTAAATAAAGTTTTGATCTTTTGCAAAGTTTTAATAGAAGAATAAGACTGTGTTTATTTATTGCAGGGTGCTTTCTTTTTCTTGATCTAAAACCTTTAACATTACATAAATGCTACAAATACAGTAAGTTACATTGACATTTGTTCAACATATTCAGCTCACTTTGTGTCTAGGAGGCTTTTATCAGACTGACAAATTATTGTTGTTTTTTTCACACTGCATTAGAAGTTATACTGATGAAGGGAAAAAAAAACGGATCATTTTAAATGTGTGTTAATGTTTTGATTAATAATCCAATCCAAGATATGTATATAAATATATATATATATACATAGGCACATACAAGTAATGATATTCATAACATGACTATGAATGATGTATAGAGCACATATCTCGAGTATCTCAGCAGTCTATTAAACTTAAGTATGAAGATATGTTACTTGGCATTCCATACACAGACTAAAGTCATGGTGGGTGCACCTCTTCAAATTTCTAGTCCTGTAGGTGGAGAGGCTGCCTTGTGGCTGCTGCTGTCTCCTGATTTCTGTCTAAATTGGACTTGCTATGTTTTTCTCTGCTTCAAGGGGAGTTTGTTTTTGTGTCATG